TACAACATCCTCCTATCCAGGCTCATGCTCCACCTCTTCCCCCTATCATCTACAACATCCTCCCTCACTTGCTGTCGACCACCAACACTCCACACCGCTAACCTTGCATGCCATGAGTGCTGCCACCTCACTTGTGTAGGACACCTCGCCACTTCTCTAATTCCAGGAACAGCAGCCCTCAATACAGGGTCAAAAGAGCCAAGATGGGTGGTGGGGTGCATGACATTCAGCTGTTCACCCCCTGTGAGGAAAGGATCCTAAGCCTGATCGTCGCGAGTTGCCAAATTGCTGTGTCTAAGCCTCTGGACTGGTCATGGACGTTGTACTTGACCTACTGAACCAGGACCCAACCCAGAGCAAACTGTGTCTCCTTTGACTTGACTGAGGACTACTGACAACCATAACAAACTTCTTGGCTTCATTTCTGCTATAAACAGCAAGGTGAAACAAAAGGACAGTGAGCCTTGTATCTCTGGCTGAGATGGCAAAACACAAAAAAAAAGGCAAGAAAAGAATGCTGTGAATATCCAGGTAGCCACAAGGTGACTGAGCACTAAGAGAGCCCTGAGATTTCAATCTGCAAGCTGGGTGCCTCTCCCAGCATGCACAATGTCCTTGCAGCAGCATTGCAATGATTGTTGCCAGTGTGGTCTGAAGTGCAGCAGCACGGTCCATGTGGATTGGAGATGTACCATGATCATGCAGAGACGTTGGCCAATGCCAACATCTATGGATGTGGGATGTAGGAGGCTCGTGCCCATGGAACGTGCCCTGAGATATTAGTGCCGAGTGCCAAGATGGAGGTCTGGATGTCAAAGGGGTGATGCTGGAGTCATGTGGTACAGCACAGCTTTCATGTTGAGAATTCCCAGTGTCTAGTTTCCTCGCAGTAAACGGTAGGAGAGAAGCTGCATATTAATGAGGTGAGATCTACAGTTAATGAGGCTGACAATAAGCAATAAGCCCCTTTAATAGGCTGAGCAAGAATCTCATCCCAATGTTCAGAACTCTGTTATAAAGTGCAACTGTTTGCTTCCTAGAATGTCAGGAATGGCCTCACTAGACTTCTCACCTGATGCTCCCAGATTTCCTGCCATAGCTAAGTTGTTCAGGCCCCTGTAAGATTCTGCCCTTTTTGACAAAGCCATGAGATATACTCAGTTCTATTTTTTTACAATACAGCAGCCCACCCACCAATAATTCACTTACACGTTACAAGAATCTTGAAAGCTCATTCACTTCTTCTGGAACCAACCCAAAGGTATGCAACAGTTCTCCAGAATGTTCTTAAATTCCCATCGGTATTCCAGCTTTCTCCATCGTACGGAGTTGTGAAGATCCTTTCATTAGTTGTTGGCTATATGGTACAGCAACTTCTCTTTTAAATATCTCATGGCTGTCAATTCCTCAGCTACTGGTCCTGGTTGTGAGTAGCCTTCCAAGCTAACTTTGCTAAATGCTTTCCAACATAAAGTTCTGTGAGGATCTCTGTAGATTTCTTCCTCCAACTCAAAGCTGGGAAAGTCTTCCAGCTCCTTTCCCCATCTTGAATTCCAAACTTATCACGAACAGTGACACATGTTCTGTGCAGTGAACAGTAAACTTAGTATTTGCTGTGTGTAAATGAAGGCCTGATTAATACTGATTTTCTTTGGCTGTCCCAATTCAATGAGCTGCATTCTGCAACAAACCAAATTTGTAACTGCCTTCAGTATGAAACACCCAGAAAAATTAAACATCATCAACAGCCCATTTCCATGACAAAAGGGCATGCATTGGGATGTTCCGAAACAGAAATGTAAACAATTTATCACTTACCTTCAACATAACTGTTTGATTCTGAATCCATATGAATAATTTATATTTCAAATCAAGTTATGTGGATAAGAATTGTGACTAGATATTCACAACAACATGGTAAGGAGAAATAAGCCCTAGTTCAGTAAAGAATGCTGAAGGTCATACTAGGAGAAACACAAATATGCCTAAAAATGAGATGTTAGGTTGGTGAAGCTACAATGCAAGACTCCTTGTGTGTCAAACAGCATAAGCAGCAAGTGATAAACCGAGCTAAGCAATTCCAAAACCAATGGATCAGACATAAACTCGGCAGTCTTTCCACATCCAGTTGTGAGTGATGGTGGATGATTCAGGATCTTAGTAGACGAGGATGCTCCATAAATATCTTCAACCTCAATTATGTGGGAGGCCAGAAATTGATAATGCTGAAGCATTTGCAACAACCTTCAAGAGAAGTGCCAAATAAATGATTCGTGTTGCCCTCCCAAAGATCCCAGTATCATAGATGCGAGTCTTCAGCCAATTCAATTCACTCCATATGGTATCATGAAACAGCTAAAAGCACTAGATACTGCAAAACTCTTGGTCCTGAAAATATTGTGGCAGTAATACTGAAGGCCTGGCTGCAGAACTAGTCATGCCCCCAGCCAAGCTGTTCCAGTATGAATAAAACAGTGGCATCTATTGGCATTGTGGAAAAGCGCCCAGCTATGTCCTCTACACAAAAGGCAGGAGAAATCCAACCCAGACAGTTACCACCTCATCACTCTACTCTCAGTCATCAATAAAGTGGTCATCAATCGTGCTATCAAGTAGCACTTGCTTAGCATTAACCTACTTACTGATGCCTAGTTTGGGATCTGCTAGGGCCACTCAGCTACTGACCTCATTGCAGCCTCGTTCACATATGGGCAAATGAGCCGAACCTTGACATCAAGGCTGCATTTGACGGGGAATGGCATCAAGAAGCTCTAGCAAAGCTGGAGTGAGTAGAAACCATGAGAAAATTCTCC